AATCATTCATATTGTAAACAATGTGTTTATATATTTGTAAACAATATGTTTATATATTGTAAACAATGTGTTTATATATTGTAAACAATGTGTTTATATATTGTAAACAAATCATTCATATTGTAAACAATGTGTTTATATATTGTAAACAATGTGTTTATATATTGTAAACAATGTGTTTATATATTGTAAACAATGTGTTTATATATTGTAAACAATGTGTTTATATATTGTAAACAATGTGTTATATATTGTAAACAATGTGTTTATATATTGTGAACAATGTGTTTATATATTGTAAACAATGTGTTTATAAATTGTAAACAAAGTGTTCAGATCGTAAACAATGTGTTTATATATTGTAAACAATATGTTTACATGTTGTAAACAACTCATTCAGATTGTAAACAATTTGTTTATATATTGTAAACAAAGTGTTCCGAAAGTAATTACTAGTTAATATTGTTAATGAAGTATTAATATTGTAAACACAGTGTTATACTGTGAACAATGTGTTAAAACTGACATAAACAAATCATCACAGGCAGATGCAGAAATTCAGTAAGGGGGAGGGTCGCTCCTACTGACTTGGACTGGCTTTGTCAACTGATTTGTCAATTTTTTTTTTTTTTGCGTGCTGAAGGGGGGATGCGCACCTGGCATGCCTCCCCTAAATCCGCACATGTTCATGGTAGTACATTAAAATAGTAATTTAAGTCCAATATAACATACCAAGACATATTCCATGTTCATTACTGAATTGTCCCTGTTGGCACTCTGAAAGACACCTTCCATGCAAATCACCAGTGTATGGGGGTCGACCTTGTACTACATAATTACTATCCAAGCATGATGTGCAGCCATCTTCCCTTCCATCAATACATGTACGACATGATTGGTGACAAGCTGTGTAAAAAAATTAGCAAAACAATTCAACAGTGTATATGTTTTATAATTTACAGTTTGATTTTGAATTAGCAGAATTAAGCAATTTCGAATTTTTGAACAAGCAGCTTCTAGGGCTGACAGCTCCACTGTTATCAATGTACATTTCAATTAAAGAATTGAGGATATCATCACAAAATGAATAAATCTGCCAGAGGTCCACCTGTAGTACAACGACGGACAATCACTCGTATAATAAGCTCCCCTTGACGAAGTCAACAGCGGAGCTAAAAAAGACACCAAGAAATAATACCTTAGGCCAAAAGAAAACTGTCACTGTCCTCATTAGTTATAAATATACACTGAACACTTTTAGCAGTAGAGAGGAAATAATTATTTCATATTCTGAAGACTTGTTTTACCATTTTAGATAAGGTTAATTGAGATGGACAAATTACCTTTATTAATTCACATTTATTGATTGATTGTGTACAAATAAGTGAATAAGATATCAATGAGTAAAACTTACAGAAGCATCTACCATTGTTGACATAATGGCCATCACTGCAGCCAGAGAGACACATACCATTCAACAATACATTGGACAGAGTGCAACTTGTACAATCTATTTTACCTGGACCATTACATTCATAGCAAGAGGGGTGGCAGGCTGGTAGGTAGAGAAGAGAAATGATAATTATACACAAATCACATGAATCAAAACAATTAATGGTACCTGTACAGTAGTTAAAGACGTAACTATGGTAACACTATGATTATCAATATTTTGAGGTCAACCAAGCATATTCATATATGATGTATATAATTTTATTTTTAAATTAGCATGACTGAATTAATGTGAACCGAACACCAACTAAACTTAGAAAATTGTTCAGTTTACAGATATTTTTAGTCTATATAGACAACGGTTTTCTGTACATAAGTAATTCTATGGAGAAGATGACTAGAAAATGGTGGTCATTAGTTAGTTAGAACTGTTAGTTCATTCTTGATTCCATGACAGGACATCTTCAACTAATAATCAATAAAACAATTTACCTTCACAGTAAGACGGATTAAGCTGGTAGAATCCTACTCCACATACAGGGACGCATACACCATCTTGTATGACTTGTTGTGAAGGACATGTTGTACAACGTGGACTGTCATATTCACATTCCATGCAGGAATCATCACATTCTAGAGTAAAAATCACAAAATGTACGTGTTGATCTCAGCTGCTAACACAAAATTAACTCACAATAACTTTTGCTATATTTTTTTCAGAACTTTTAATCAAAACTTATAGCCGATGTAAAATTATGTGCATTAGATTCAAAATTATATAACACTGCAACCCAATTTTGGTGAGAAAATTAAAATGGTTAAACATTATGGCTAAGTGTATAAAAGTGGACTTTCTGTTGGTATTTTTGGTCACGTTACCCACTCAAAGAAATTCACTGCTCTATGCAAGGGATTTACAAGTTTTTTTTTTAAATCAGACCAGGAACAGAAAGAGCACACAAAACAGACTGTTATTATAAACATCTAGTATAAGGCACTGTGACACTTAGATGAAAACAGGGTCATTCAAATGTTCATCAATTGAAGAAAAGGTTTTTCACATATTTATTTGGAATGATGTATGATTACAGAACCAAACATAGTTGACACTTGGATGACTATGGTTTCATTCATCTACATCATCTACACAATGCTATGACTAGAAGGCACACCTTACAAGTATATGCTAGGTGTATAAAGAATGCTACTATTCCAATACCAGTGA